CAGGAAAGTGTTCTCGTCCTGAAAGCAAACAGCAACGCCTTGGCTACGGAGGCTGAGACACCACTCAGCTGCGTGTGACAGCTTCTCCAAAGGAATATCTTTCTATTTATGAAATTAATACCTGTCAGAAAAGTGAATGCTGTCATTTTGGAAATTCTGAGAAATAGACAAAAGTCTGAAGTAAGAGACAATGATCACACACGACCCCATCACCCAGGGGTTAACATTTCCTTTCCTCCCCCCCGCCCCCCGCCGAGGCCTATTTTGGGGACAGGTGGTATAATTTAGATGGTATCGTGCAGATAATTTTGGGTCTGCCCTTTTCACCTAATAGAGGTGATCAGTTCTCATTAGTATCGAAAACTCCTTGCAAGCCTCATTTTGAAACACTTTCTTGTGGATCCACGATGGATGCACGAGGTCCCCTTCTTCATTTATTCTGCTTCTGCTACACTGTGGTCTCTGTTCTGCCTGTTTTCAGTTCTTTCCCTCAGAATGGATTCCTAGATGTAAAACTCCCCGATTCGGCTTTACAGCTCTTATTACATACTATCACATCGATTTCTGAAAAGTTTATGGCGATTTATTCTTTCACATAGCAACATATGAGCGCTGTCACCGGCGACGGGTATAGTAATAAAAAAAAAAAAAGCATTTGCTAATTTGAAAATAAGAATTGGCAGCTCATCATCTGTTTTTCTTCTTCCCTCTGCCCGTTTATACATCAAGCACATCAAAGCGTCTCTCATGAACCTCTGAGCTGTGGCATCATGGAGTCAGGCAGCCCAGGTCAGAATTCCAGCATCTCCACTTGCACGCTCCATGACGGTGGGCAAGGGATTTCACCTCTCTGTGCCCGGTTTCCTCATTCCCCATGTCCTCGTAACACAGGGAGGACAACAGATGCCACTTTCTGGGCTCACAGTGAGGGTCAGACGGGATTGTGGGGTGCTTGGGCTGATATACCCCCGGACACTGTCTTGGTTGTGTTTGTTGTGAATGTTGTTTGCCCTTTTGAGGTTAACTGTTTAGTTGTATTATGAGCAATTCGAGAGATAGAGGATGTTTTTGTCTAAGAAAGTGATGCAAGCAACAAAACTTGGGTTTCGGGATGGGCAGTTTGTGGAAGGAAGACAGCCCCGGTGTCACGACAAGGAGATGAGTGTGGGGCCTGCTTCTATCCTTCAGTTAAAATGCCAAATTAAGAGGTTCAGAAAGCCAACATGATCAGGCCAGCTGGTCATCGCCCTGCCTGATGCTAGAACCCTTGGCAGCATCACTGAAGTGTCCTAAAGACACCACGCCCAAGGTCCTGCCTCGAGACTCTGACTCTGAAGGTGTGGGCTGGTAATTGGGTCTCTCTATAAATAAGGACAGGAGGCTCTGATGCCCAGCCAGCCGTCCAGTGTGGGGAGTCCCTTGCAGGACCCCAAAGGGACATCCCCAAACCTCCACGTCTCCTTAATTACTGGGTGCAAAACTGTCATCTGCGAGCCCTCTACGTCCTCCTTATGATTCCTCGTAAGTAGCGTCTCCTGCCCCATCTCATGGGGTTGGGGAGACCTAACCAAGATGATCTCAAGGAAAAAGCAGATGAAGCCTTCAACAATCTGTGCCTGGAGGCTGATTCTCCCCCTAAACTCTTTACTTTCAATTCTCCAACAAGCTTCTATCATTATTAAACCCAGTTTGAACTGGGTTTCCTGTTGTAACCAAAAGGGATGTGGGACTTTTATCATTCCTGGCTGCTGGAGTCCTCATGCTTGCTTACATGTGATGTGCAGGGAAAGAAAACCTTGCCCCGAGTCCCCTGCTCACTTCTCCCCACAGCCCGTCACTGACGCCAGGACCCACGTCTCTGCAAGCATCGCTCTCCCAGGAAGGACTCCGCCCCCGCTGCCCTGCCCACTCCCACTGCCTCCTAAAGGTCTCTGGGAAAGCCCCAGAGGCACCAGCGATCCAGAGGATTCCAGCGTATCAAGCTGATCTGAAAGTGGTCAATACACATGGTCTCTGGAGCCCCCACGTTCAAATGCCCACTCCTCCTTCTCCACTTCTGAAATGAACTTTTATGACAACCCATTGGCTCACTAGCACCCATCGATCTCACTGTAGTTCCTGGTTTCACGGTAACATTGTACATGGAACTCTACTCGAAGTTTTTGCTTTTCGGCAGGAGCAGGGCGGGGGAGGGGGGCGTGGTCAGCAAAGAGACAGTCCCAACGACAAAGGAGCAAACTCCTCCCCAATGCTAAGGCAGGAGGGACGTAAATTCTGGAGGGTAAGCACCCAAGAAAAGCACGCACAGTAGGAAGCCCTTCACAACAGGTGCGGGTGACCAAGTCCGAGAAGGAAGATGACCAGCAAGATGACCAAGTCCAAGAAGGAAGAAGGAAGTTTCGCAGATGCTCAGGACTCTGAAGAGGAAAGATTCCCATCAAAAGTTGCCCCTTGGTCTCCACGTTCAAACTGCAGCATGCGTTTTTAAAGGGAATATAAACAGCTGACATGCCTTGAGTTTCCTTCCAAGAGCAGGGAGAGAAGGAGGCTGGCCCAGAGGAACATGGGGCGACAAGGACAATTTGCCCTCACTGACTATCTTTGCACGTGGGACCCTGCGCTTCACCAAGGCTCAGAAACCCCATTGATTCCAGGGATGGCTTCTGGCCAAAATCAAGATTCACCCGAGACCCATGAGTTCGTTCAGAAGAACACCACCACCCTCCCCCCTGAGGTTGAAGCTTTTCAATGGAAAATGTAGAAAAACTGTCTTTTGGAAAATGCAAGCACCTCTAAGGCTGGAAGTGATTTTACTACCCCAGGGGTGCGATCCAGTAGCTAGGAAAACGCCTCAATGGAGATTCTCAAGTCTTTTTAATTCAATCACCTAAAAGAGACTTTCTGAGTCCCTTGAGTAGCCTTGGAAATGCACTGGGTAGGTCAGGGTTCCAAAGGTCCAACCCCTTGGTCCCCCCATTAGCATAGGACCCACACACACACGGGGTGGGGGATGAGGCGGGCTGTGAAGGGCTCACTCCTCCTGCAGGTCTTTGGGACACAATAACACCAACACAGCATTAATGCATCTCAGGGCCCACCACTCCTAGAATCCTAGAATTCAGAGGTTACCTCGAACATAAACCTGTTCCAAAATGGCAAATATATTTGCATATCAGAGGTTAAAAGCAATGTCCAAGGAGCTGCTTTGACAGCAGAAGTACACACACCCTTCATGCCCCCAACTTCCACGGAGGCGACCATCTGACTGGGTGGCCTGCCTTCTCCGCCCGGGTCAGGCACGTGCTGCGGAGTGTCCACCCACCCAGTGCAGCTCTGCTTCCCCACGAAAGGGAAGGGCCCAGCACACGCTCCGAGGCGCTCCCACGTTTCCCTTACTGACTAGTTTATCGAGGAAGCAATCCCATGAGCCTAACAATGGGGCACACGCTTGTATCTGCAGCCTTCATTTATTATTTAAAACCAAGAACCAGCATCGCCTGTGTCGACCTATTGGAGCCTCTGTCTCTGGGTCTCTCTGTCTCTGTCATACACACACACACACACACACACACACGGTGAGGAGACTTACATCACAACTACATCCTACAGAAGATGATTCAACCAGTCTCTGCATTTTCGTGAGGTTACAAATCGAGTTAACCCATGAAAGCGCAGCAGGTTCCAGTCTCCACCATTCTGGGTAATGCACCCAAGGTCTCATCCGAGCCAGGCTCTGACTGGTCAATAAGAATTTAAATTCAGATTCCAGCAAATAAAATGGGACCAACACAAGATACCTGGAAGAAGGTAAAGCACCTGCTCCATTTTCCTTGGCTCGCCCTCCTCCACAGCCTTTCCTTCTGGATTTCCTTCAGTCCACCAGCCTCGAGAGGCACTAAGGAGATCATGAACAAACCTGAGCTCAGCAGCACCCTGGGAAGCTCAGGCATAAGGGGGAGACCGGCTCTCAGTGGCCAGCTCGCCAGGGTCTGGGTCTCCTCTGTATAACGAGCAAGCGTCTGGCCCAGTGGCAGGGCCACCCTGTATCCACCCCTTCTACCCGCCATGTGCAGATGTAGATGAGACAGGGCTCAGAATGCTTTTCCAAGAAACATGAACTCCCAAGGAGGGCCACTGGAGCAAACCGAACCCCTTAAGAATAATTTTTCCAAGGTACAACATGCTCTTTTATTCTTAATATTTCTAAAGAGTAACAGAGTCCTTTGCACAACAAGACTGAAAGTAATACCTAAACCCGCAAAAGGCAGGGAGCTCGGATGTGCTCACAGCTCGGACACCTCACACACACCACGGTGCTAACTCTAGCAAAAGCTCAAGAAACATGGCACTGGGGTCTAGTGGGATTCTTCAAAGGAAGAGAATGCTCCCTCCTTTTACCAACTAGCAAAAGCTGGTTTTCAAAGCATCTGGATTTAATAATTTCCTTTTTGTGCCAACTGCCCGTCTTGCACGTGCTCCTTGGTCTTTGAAGGCCATCATCTGCCTGGCCAGTTACTGCAACGTACAGATCAATGGTCTCTCAGCCACCAAGGTTACAGACCTCAGGCAAGCAAGAGCCACAGCACAGCACCCTCCATCCTGCCCTGAAGGCACAAGAATGGGCAATGGCCCCTACTGGTGTTTATTTGTACAGCTACAAGTGAACCACACATAGATCCATGTGCATCCCCAACATCACGGAAACCATGTATCTCTTCCTTCTACCTTCTACTTCAAGACCAATGGCCAACTTCCATGAACATTTCCACCTCCCAAGAGTTACAGCCAAGGCCTTAAAGACAATCCAAACACACGAGTCCACAGGAAATGGCATCCACAATGGATGGATCAGGAAATAACCAATCGACACGGGTCCACGGCAGCCTCCGTGAGTCCCCCTAGGTCTGGCTCAATGGCCGCGCTGCTAAAACCATGGACCCCAACCCTAAGAGAGTCGGCACTCTCCCCAAGCAGAAAGATATAAACACCCGTGTCCCTACCTCAATCAGGAAGTCCCCAGTCCTCAGTCCGGCTTGCCATGCCACCCCTCCTTCATCCACGGACTCCAGGTACTGCAGGGCTGGGAACGCCGGCGTTGGCGTGAATTCTTCAATGGGTGTATCCGCTGGGAAGACAAGGAATACCTCAGTACAAGCCTGGGTGGTGTTTCCAGGTTGGCAGCCCCGGCCCCTCAAGGGCCCCTGAGAGAAAGGGGGTGTGTATGTCTCCCATTGGAAGTGGGTGCTCCAGGCCTGCTCTCCCCTGGGAAGGGCTTGCCTCTCACAGTCATGGGTCAACCCCAACTCAAGCGATGAAGCCAACTGCATTTTGGTGCCAACATATCTCTTGGCCTTTCTGTTAAAAACACCGAATAATGTGCTCTGCTGTACATGTCTTTATGTACATGCCTGTCATTTTCTTTAAAAGCATCAGTGACTAAACATTTTCAGTTCTAAAAATGGAAAAGTTCCCCCCATAACCACACACAGCTCCAGAAACACCACAATGAACCCCTTGCCAAATTTATATCTACGTAGACTCGCAACCAAGGGAATTCAACTTGGAGCATGGACAGATCATAACGCTGACCCAGTGGGTGGCTGCGGATTTGGAATGTGCTTACGAATTCTGTCTGCAGGGAGCCCGGCTCTCAGCGACCACTCTGCGGCCAGCACCCACGGGAAGGCTGGGCCCCCGCTCCTCAGCAGAGCTGAGCCTTGGTACCTGGGCCCCACATGGCTGCCGAGCAAAACTCCAGGGCAAGAGATGGACTCCCCTGGGTAGTTATGAGCAGCCAGGGGTGGGTGGGTGGGAAGATGAAGATGACCCCAGCAGGGGGAGGGGACAGAACACCACTCAGACAGTCATACACACACACACACAGAGACACACACGGGGACAGATTCATCTTTTCTTTCTCTCTCTGGACAGATGGCTCCTGGGCAGCCTGTGTTTCGGGGCAGGTGGGGCTGCCGCCCAGGGAAGGAGGCCTTTCCTAGCTCAGGTGCAGGACCCGGCACAGCGCAGAGCCTCTGACATGAAACTTACACATGGCTTACCCACACACGCGGTGGACAGATGTCTCCTCTCCCGGGGAGCTGATGCCATTTTGTTTTCTTTTGAAAGGGAAGCCCCCAAGTGAAGGGCTGGTGTGTGGGGGGGTGCACTGCCATGGGATGCATCCCCAGAGCCCCCCACCCCAGGCCACATGACGTGTACGCTGCCGGCTCAGTCCACGGCGGAGGGGACCATCTTGCCACATTTCCTTTGCAAAGTCACCTTAGAGACGGGCACACACAGACGCCGCCGCACTTGGAGCCAAAGCCCACTCCCAGAATGGGGCAGTTCCTAGAGATCTGAAACTCAGCACCGGGTCATTCTGGATATCTGAGACCAGGAGCTCCAAAACCAGCCACAGTTGGGCTGAACTAAACCACAAAATATAGATTAAACCCACGATTAAAAAAACAAAACAAAACAAAAAAACGAGTGGGGGGAGGGAGAGAGAGACAGCGAGAGCTCGTTCAGAGCAATACTGTGCACAGAAAATTGAAAATATTCCTAAAGGAAGCCCCGATGTTTTCTGAGTACGGCAAAATATGTTCAAGAACATGGTTGTCTAGCAACCAAGTGCCCCCAGGAAGAAGGCTTCTTTCTGAGCTGGGGAGCATTTTCATATGGTATGCATACACACACACACACACACACACACACTCACTCACACTCACACAACATGGGAATGCACCCAGACTGGGAGCAGCCGCTCTTACCTTTCGCCCCTCGGAGCACGAATCCAAAACCCTCATTGTCCTTCTTCTGCAGGACCACTGTCTTCTCCTCGATAATGCAGTCACTGTAGAGAGAATTCCGGGGATAGCGACCATTATTGTAACCCGTCATCATCACCGTGGCTGATCCTCCGCCGGGGACGTTCATCATCATAGCCAATTAATCACCCTGCTCGCCGGATCCAGGCAGCATGGAGGAAACTAAGCAGCACAGGGAGCAGGAGGAGCGGAGGCAGCTGGGGGGGCCGGCGAACGGGATAGGCGGGCTCGGCACAATGGGGCTCGGAGGGGGGGGCCGGCAGAGGCAGAGCCGGAGCGGAGCCGAGCGAGCGAGCGGGAGGAAGGAGTCAGGCATGGTGGGGAGGCCACCGAGCCATGGCAGCGCGGGCTGGCTCCGGGCACCCAGAGGCAAAGAAAGTAAGTGGCCCAGAGCCACCAGGCGCAGCAGAGCCAGGGCACCCGGGCTGATGCATCTTCCAGGGGAGCCCGCTGAAATCAGCCAGAGGAGAAATGAGGCAGCAGGTTTTTGGTTTTTTTTTTTTTTCTCCTTCTTCTTCTTCCTGAAGGGGTTTTCAAAAATCAGATTCTATTTGCTCTCCGCACGAGCCGGCGCCGAGCGGCAGCGACCCCTCCCTCCCGGCCCGAATGAATGTGGTGTCCCGACAACCACCAGGGAGCCCACAATGCCACGGCAGCCTCTGCACGGCGTCATCCGGCACAGAGAAATCGCAGGCTGGCGGAGGGGGCGGCCGGGGCGCTGCCGGGGTGGGGGGGGCTCCTAGCAGGAGGAGGCAGGTCACTCCAGCGACACCAAAGCCATGGTGTTGAACGGCATGGTCTCCTTTAGGGGATGATGAGCCGTAGGGACAGGGAGCAGGGGGCTTGGGGGCTATCCCCTTGGACAGACGGCCCAAAGCCACACCGCCTGCCTCTTGGCACAGCATTTTTTTTTTTTTTTTAAAGGAAAGAAACCCAAAAGCTCCAACTTTGCTTCAGCTGCCAAAGCCTCCCATCATTTACAGTAAGGGCGCTTTGCCACATAACTGTCCACCCCTGGAGGCACCCGGGGGCGCGGGACAGGAGTGGACTTCCTGGCGGGCCACACGGCCGGGGCTGAACGGTGGCCCTCCCTCCCCACCTTCCAGGGGCAGCCTCCCCCCAGGACTCGCTGCTGCCCCGGAAGTAAGTAAGTCGGCAGCTGGAAGGCCAGGCCACTGCGCAGGGAAGGAGGAGGGGCAGGATGCTATGTGGAGAGGCTTTCTCCAGGGTCCTAAGGGGCTGGCCAAGAGAGGGCTGCATGCCCGGGGTCCTGAGGAATTCAGCAGGCCCCTGGCTTGGAGCGGGAGACTGGGGGACGCAGCTAGCCAACAGTGGGAGCAACGTGCGAACAGGCTCGAAGTCACAGACACCTGAAGGTCAGCTTTGTCCAGCACTGGACTCACAGCCTGCAGGGAGCGCAGGGCCCCAGCATGCAGCCAGCTGGGAGCAGTTCAGCCAACCCAGATCAGGCCCCAGGAGGAAAAGGGACAGGGGTGCTTGGACAGAGCGATGGGCTGCTGAGAGTTTCCCAGCGTGCAGATGAGGCAGGGGAGCCTCAGAGAGGCTGGGGGACACAGCTGGAGAATGCACGCAGGTCCTGACCCAGTCCCGAGCTCCTGCCCTTGCGGCGGACAAGCATGCAACAGAACTTGCCAGGGTGACCCTGTCTTCCAAGAAAGGGCTGGCAGAGTGCAGACACTTACTTTCACAGCTGACAGCCCATGCAATTGGGGATGACGGGTCTAGGGTGGTCTAAGACTCGAGGAGGGGTTCTGTCCCGGTGCTCTTGCTCTGCCTGCTACCCTGGGCACAGGGAGCCCCAGGGTCACACGGCTGGCCTGGCCTTTAGCAGGTGATGGGGCTCCCTAAAACCTCTAAACCTCGCCCTCGCATTGCAAGGCGGCAAGAAGCCATGGGGCAACTGTGAGGTCAGATGGGGCAACTCCCAGGACGGTGTGGTAGGCCAAGGGAGCCCCAGGGAGCCATCAGCTGCCATCAGAAATAGCAAAAGGCTGGCAGTTAGCCAGGACCTGGGGAACCACAAGGCAGGAGGAACTGGGGGCAGGCGGAAGCTCTGTAGTGAGCGGACCCTGTGCCCGGCTGACCACCTTCCTGTCTCCAGGAAGCCTCCCCCAACCAGGACGCAGACCTGGCCTGCCTTCCCACCTGCCTCGCTTCCCGCTGAACTCCTCAAGGGGGAGGGCCCTGGCCCGGTGGCTGCCTCGGGCACCGAGCAGGTGCCAGCCCTGCGACCCGCTTCTCTAGGGGAAGGCTCGTGAGGGCCCCGCCCTCTGCATGAGTAGCTGCTGGCCAGCAGCCCCCGAAGCCCCAGAAAGACGATGACTGCCCTGCGGGTCCTGAGCCCTATCTCCCCCGGGAGCACAAGCGGCCCCCGACACCCACCACCTGTGTTGCATTCCAGGCGGCGACCCTACCACGGGCTGACTCTGCTGGCAGGACCAAATGCCGCCTCAGGCTTTGTGCAGCTTGCAGGCGACCGTACGTTTCCTCCCCAATGTCCCCCCACGATGGGGAGCTTGTTGGGGCCAGCGCAACAGCACCCCGGTGACCGCACGGGGGTGGTCTGCTGTGGGGGGCGGCGAGGGGTGGCACTGGCATTGCAGGGAACTCGGCTCCGATCCCAGCTGTGCTCTGACCCAAGGTCACTCTGACCTTCACAGCCTCAGTGTCCCACTCTGCAAAATGGGATGAGGAGCAAAACATGCCCTGTGGGCCGAGGAGGAGTTGACGAAGTAACCTACAGCAGCCCAGGCATGCAGCACGTGTTAGTAACTGCGACCCTGCTCAGAGAGGGTTTGCACGTGCCAACGCCCCTCCTCCTCCTCCTCCCCGGGACCCCTCCCGGGCTAACGACGGAGCCCCTCTCTGAGCCCTCTGAGCCCTCCCAGCGACTCCTCCCTCGCCGAAGCATGTCCTGACTCCCACTTGGGGCTGCCACCATCTTGCCCCCAGTCCGTGTGGCTGCGTCCTGCTTGTTGAGCAAGCACCAAACTCCTTAGTCTCCAATACGAAGAAGGATTCTGGTCTCTTCCATCCTGCTTTACTTCAGGATCTAAGCAGCCCCCGGCCCCTGCCCCTCATGACCCCGTCTTATTTTTATTCACAGACAGACCTGGGTTTGAATCCCACCTCAGGCGTTTACCAACTCAGCTGCTCAGAGCCTCAGTGTCCCCACCTGCGAAGTAGAGGCAGTGATATTTGTCTGGCAGGCACTTTGGGGGGCAACTGGAACAAGGCCCCCTAACGGGGAAATGGTCGTCTCGTGCCCGATCCCTTGGGAGACAGGGCTCCTGGACGGCATCACCCCAGACGCCCGCAGTGCCCAGCAAAGGGTGCCACGCACCCATCACGTCCGTGGGCTGCAGCAGAACGGGCGTGAACACAAGGTAGGGGTCGAGCTTGGGTGTGTCAGGGGAGGCGGCGAAGGAACACCGCCAGCCAGTGAAGGGTCTCAGTGAACACGCCTCCAACTGGGACAATCCCTGGATCCTGGGTCGCATCCAGAGGGCAGGAGCAGCTCAGCATCATGGAGTGCCTACTGCAGGTGGTGGGCTGGGCCCAGGCAGCCCGAGACACAAGCGGGAGGGAAGTCCCAGGCCATTAGAAGCGGACGGTCTTTGTAGCAAACCGTGAAAAGCAGCGGGAGATCCAAATGCAAGCGTCGTTCCCTTGAAACAGGAGCTCACGTCTAGTTTCATCCGAACGGCACAAACGCGCAGAGTTCCCTCTACCCCCACAAATCAGACTGGGCATTCCCACCCCCGGGCCTTTGGGAGGAACCTGCCTGGAGATGAGAAACTCTCAGAGGGCTCCTTAAGCTGGTTTATGAATCTAAAAGCTGTCTCAGGATGACAGCCATGGCCACACGCGCAAGCTGTGGCAGGCGGACGCGGCTTCTGCAAGCTGCCTCGGGAGCTGGGCTGAACCCCAGAAACCAGAAGCCATGAGGCCTCAGCCCGGCCAGCCTGGCCGCGCACCAGCAGCCCTGCTCCCCAGATGCATCCCAAACGCATGGGAGCTGCCTTCGCGGGGACACTGCCTTGGGCCCCACGCTGCTGAACTTGGTGCCACCTGGTCCCTGGGGACACGGCCTGGTGAAACCAGCAGCCCAGCCCTCGTGACCACTCTACACCCCTGCTTTGCATCTGCCCCCTGCCCCGGACTCCAGTCACTGCCCGCCTTCCTGCAGGGTCCCCCCGGCTCGTTTTCACTCCCTGAAACGCTCTACCGTTGGCCTTGTCTTTTACCCAAGTGCTCATACATGGGCCCTTCACGCCTCACTGCCTTGTGCTCTGTGTTCCCTTTGCCTGCCATGCCCTCCCCACCACTGGTCACTCACAGGCTCTCTGCCCTAGGCAAAGCCATCCCAAACCCTCCCAACGACAGTCAATGTCACACATTCTCTCCCCAACGGTGCCTTTGAGCCGGGCCCAAGCCTCTGAGGGGACCCTTCTCACCCACTAACCCATCAACTGTGGGCTTCTTGGGAGCAAACATCAATGCCTTGCTCCTCTCTGAATCTCCCTAAGTGGCACAATGCCTATTCTTGGTGAGATTCTACCTGGGTTTGTTGGCTACACAAAAAAAACGTTACCTAGACGTGCCGTCTTCAAATGTGTTTTCTGAATAGGGTGGGAAGGCACTTTAATGAACACAAAACATCCCCTTCTTTGCCAGTTTCCTGTAGCAGGAGCTGCAGAAGGCAAAGGGGCGGGCATCTAGCCCCAGCAAGTACAGCTGTGCCGGCTGCGCCCAGTGTGACTACAGAGGGTACCGTTTACGTGATGGCCATCACAGAACCCTGTATTCATTATGGTTATTTGGGCACAGATGGAAGTAAAGTGCCTTGAGGAAGGGGCAAGCAATTTTTTCTAGTTCGTACAAAGATGGAATATAGGCCACTGGCTGCCTTGAAGAATGTAAGAGGTATCCACAGAGACCCACATCAACACTGGGAGACGGCTCCATTTTGAAGCTCTCCTGGGAGCCACGTGGCAGAGACCAC